AGGTAACCAGAGTGCTGTGTGTTTTATTGGGAGGTTGAAGGGGAGGCACTGTTGGAAACTGTCAAGCAACCTGCTATTTTGGAGATTTTCCTGGATCAATATTTGAAAAGTATCCAACTTTGAAGAAGACTCCAGCGTTAACAGCATCTGAACAGATTCAGCCCTTTATTGTGACCATTTTCATGATGAGAGTTTGCTGGGATTTTTTATTAAACTTCACAGCTAATTGAGTACCCACCTTCAGGACTTCCCTTATGAAAGGTGTGGAACTGCAGGGATGACATCAGACGCTCTTACTTCCTGTCCCTGTCCCTACTCTCCATCTCTTGGACAGAAAATAGCAAAAATGACAAATTACCAAGGGAACTCCATGCAGGAACAGCTGGGACTACACCATTAGGTAGTGTATTACTTAACCATTTTTTTTAGAAGTGCAAATAATTGTTTAAAAGAGACAAATGATGAAAAGTTTGGAAATGAGGGTTGGCTTGTAAGAAGAAAAAAGAAGTGTGTGGGGTCTTTTCCTGTTTCCTTTGAATTTCTGGTGACGTAGCTGCTCTGCTATCACTTGTCTGTTATGCTGTCCCTGAGAGACGTGAAAGGCACCACTTCTGATGGGGCATGTGTCTCACATGAATCATAATCATTCCTTGGGATTTGTATGGGAAGCAGAAGAGCCATTGCCTTTGCCTGAACACATTTCTTTCAGAAACACCCTTCCTTGTGCCTGCTTATAACAAACAGACCTTCCGATAAAACAAGGCCAGGATTTTGCCTTTGATTCCTTAGTAGAGTGGAAGACCACCCTTACGTTTTGCAGTGAGAAATGGCTTTGTTCTGCCTTCTGGAGCATCCAGGGACTACCTTGTTCCCCAGCACTTGAGGGCTGGGGCCTTCCAGGTGGCTCTGGTGGCCTTATGTCCCAGCTCAGCCCTGGACAGCACTGGAAGCCTTTTCTGCTTCTTAGCAAGTTGCTCATAACTTTTTTAAGTCCTTCCAGAGGCAAGCCCTTCAGAAGAGCAGAGCTCAGTTTCCATCATGGCATAGAGAACTCACTCCCAAGAGCCATGGAAATGTGCCAACAGTGGCCAGACTTCCCAAATTTATGGAGGTTCCTGGCTCCAAAGATACAGCCTCAGCAGCCCTACACATCTCTAGAGCCAGCTCAAAGGGTATTGATGCCACAGTAGATGTGAACATTTCCTCATTTCTTACCTTCCCTATCCAGTTTATATTTGTAGTAGGATATTCTTTATTATGTTGTTTTCAATGTTCTGGGCATTTTAGAGACCTTCAAGGATTCCTGGTTAAGAACCCTGACTCTAGCAGAGCCTCCTTTTTATAGCAGCACAGGAGAGGAGATAAAAGAGGTGCTTGCGGAAGCTGGGAATGGCTTTTCTCTTTTAATATACTCTGTGGAATATGGTTTCACTATCTAATACCATGTGATAGTCCCTTCCTTAAGTCTTCCCTTTTGTTTTTTTAGCATGATTCTATATTTAGTTGTGAAAATATCTCATCCTTGGTCTCCCAACCCTGAGAGAAAGTAAACTATGGTCCTAAGCATCAGGTGCTCTACTGAGTGTTTAGTAATGGTGCTACAGCCTAGAATTTTCCACATTTTTGTCAATTTACATACCAAAGAAGAGCACTTGTGTGAATAGTGATGGGCTTAAAGGCAGACCCCACTCAGTCTGACCTGAGATTCAATACTCCACACCCTGCCCAGTGGCCTACACACACACCTTCTCCCTCTTCCCTCCCCTCTTTCCTTTATCCCAAGGATTTGCAAGCTAATGGCTCTCTTGGGCCTGTTCATTTAAGTAATTATCCACCTGATTTGTAGAATTCCATTCAGAACTGTTTACTACGTACAAGTTCATCCTAGAGAACATAATGACTGTTTTAGAGTCACACTTGAATTTTAAATGTCATTAATGTTGTCAAAGTTATTTTAAACATCCAGAGGTTTGTGGGTGTGCTGGATATTGTGTTCTTAGAGCAGAGCAGTCTAGGATGAACTGGTTCACCCCACCACACCTCCTGACTCTCCAAGGCAGAGGACACTGCCAGGCCTCCACACAACCTCTGGACTGGATGGAGCCATAGGCACTCATCAGACCCACCACTATAGAGGTGGAAGAGAGGAGAAACTGAAGTGCACAGAAGGGAAGATCCTGTCCAAGGTGATGGCCTGTGGCCTCAGACTTCACTCACACACATGCAGCCCGTATCCTTGCACTGCTTTGGATCCATGTGCCAAGCAGTCCATTGCAGCACCCACCTGTGGGTCCAGGTGCAAGTTGTTTTGCCACAAGAATCACTGTCCAGGCCCTCACCTCCTCCCCCTTGTGGCCAGCAGTAGCTCTCTGTCATCCTGGTAGGGCTTTGATCAAGGCGGAGTTTCTCAAGAGCCCCATTCTCTAGGCAGGCTGTGCTACTCTTTGTGGTTGAAGCCAGGCAAGTGATAAAGAGGTTGGACCAAAATGCTGAAAATGTAAGGACATTCAGAACAGAAAATAATGTGCTTTCCTGCTTGTGCTTATTTTAAGGAACCAAGCTATGCTTCAACATCCTCCTCCTCCTCCTGAACTGTTTTTTACAATAATCAAAACATTGGTCCAGGCAAGCTTTTTTCTTGCTAAAACTTCCAATTTTATTTTGTTCTTTCAGACATACTAATTATAGTTTCTTTTCTCTCTAGCCTATTAGTAATGCTGATTTTATTGTTCCGGTTGAAATCGATGGAACTATACATCAGGTAAAAAATAAAGGCTAAATCTGACTTCCAGTTAGGACTTTTTTAGTAGTTATATTTCCTGTGAAATTTATTTCTGAATTCTCATCTCAATAATTTGTTACTGAAAAAAGAAGCATACTTTGTATAATAAATACAGTGGTTTTCTGCTTTCATTCAGACAGATTAATTTATTTCATACTAAGTTTATAAAAGAAACTATCATCCATTCATAAATATTAGATGGAGTTGCAAGTTCAGATAGCTCTTTGATTTGGTACAGACTTTCAGAAGTTTCCATATCCCCCACTGGCCTAGCTTCATGGTCTAATTAACTTCCTCATGTAATTGCTTTTGGCTACTCCTAGCAGGCAACAGGAAAAGCCACAAGTCACCCACCCACCT